GTTATCGCCCACTTTGAGAAACGCTGATCTAGAGAAAGCTAATTAAAATAATAAATCTTCTGTAAGTTTTCACAATCCACTCATAATTTTTTTAAATGTTGGTATATGAAGAATTTTGCTAAATTAGATCTAACAAAATTTAGTATTTTTTTTTCTTTTTGTTGTTAGTAATCTATAAAATTAAAATATATTAACACCAGAAGAATTGAATAAACAAATCAAATAGAATATAAGAAACTAAATTTATAAAAAGTTAAATATATATTAATATATTTATCCAATATAAACAATTAGAAATATCCATCTTATAGAAATCCAGAATTATCAGAAAAACTGTCAATTTTTGAACTTGGTAGGATTTAGTATAGTTGTAGTTTGCCACATGGCCATTTTTTTTTTTGTTTCTGTGGTGTATGCATTGCATGATTGTCAGTTCCAGTGTGACTGCTGGCATATGCTGTGTTAAATACAGTGTCATTGTTTATTTTCCATTCTTTATTTTATATATTTAAGTATATATTTAGCATGTGTCCAGAAAGCCAGAAATCTGCACTGTTTCTAGTCTCAAGCTTGCTGGATATTTGGTCTGGTACTGTATCAGTCTTTCACAATTCTTTCAGAGAAACATCTTTTTTACATCTGCACTGTTAACCAGATATTGCACAAGTAATTGCAAATAATAAACTCTTAATGTTCCAATAATATCTTGATCCATTGGTTGCAATAGTAATATCAGAATTGTGGGAAGAAAAAGAATTTCTGAATATTAGATTCATAATCTGCATTATTAGATGAATGTTCAGGATTGTCACTTATTAATGTTGTCTTTGCAATATTGTTATCCTAAATATACTTCTTTATGAAAGTGAGAAATAGCTCTTGGTATAATCACCAAACACTTCTCTTATAACCCAAACCTGGAGATTTGGTTTACATAGACAAACAACACTCTTCAAGTTATCCTTTATGGCATGAGGGTTTACAGAATGATAAACTAATATTGGTTTCACTTTTATATTGCCAGTACAATTGCTTCTAATAAATAGAAATGAGACCAAAAATGTTTTAAATATAAAGCATTTTTGGCCTCATTTTGGACTATTCTTGGCATATGTGTAAATTGAATGCATTCAACTTACATGTGCACCAAAGATAGCTAAAATTGAGGATGAAAATGTTTTGTATTAAACAATTTTGGTAATTTTAATCAAGTTCCATTGATTTTTGACAAATTGGAGAATAACTCATCTTAAATATGTGCTGGAGTGAATGAAAGATTATTTATTTGAGATAACCTTAATGAGTTTTTTTATTAAACAAAAAAATTTCTTAAATAGTATGATGCCATGTTTCTCATATTTTCATAGTTAACTAGATAGGTACTGTACATGAATAATTTAGAAATATCTATAAGAAAAAATGTTTTGTTCAAAATGGGCTTTGAATTTGCAATTCATGCAAACTGAGCTAGCATATTATCAATAACACTGTGTAGATTTCCAAGCTAATTTTCATCTCAAGGTACAGTACATGTACTTTTTAAAATTAATGTACTGTACAGTACAGTCATATAGACTATATTGTTACACTTATCACAGATATTTCTTTCCAAATCCTCATTATTCAATAAATACATTTTTTTTCATAGTTGTACTATATGTAATTTTATTATAAACAGGAAAATCTTTTAAATGTTGTTGTTGTTTTTTTGTGTGTGTGTGTGTTTCTCCTGAGTAATGTTAATAAAAACATCCAACTTTATTCCTGATTATTTCATAAAAAAATAACGGCTTGATCAACAAGATATAAATAAATCAATAAANACACAAAAGCATTCAAAAGAAAAGTTATTATTATAAAGGTATCTTTTAATTATTTATTTAATTTAATACTTTAATTCAATTATTTTAAGTAATTTTAATTTAATTATTTAAAAATTTCGCGGCACTCTTGTGGTGTTCTTGTGGCACCCGCTTTGAGAACCACTGCTTTAGGACTATAATTATGCATGTAGTGTATGCCTGTGGTTAATGCTGTGCAGTAATTTGAGTGGTGTAACATGATATTAAATTTACAGCATGACAGACTACAACTCCAACACATTTTGTGGACCAATAAGGCACTGTTTTCCAACAAGTGAGTGCATAATTGTCAAAATTACACCACAATACCCAAGATATATGCAGTATCAAGTGTGTTTTACCCTAAATGTCTTATGTAGCTATTGTAAATCGCTTTATTTTTCTATTAAAGTTTATTGTTTTGTTAACCTGTCAACCTGTCATCATTTAGAGTGACGGACACCCTTTGACTTATTCATGACCATCCGTCTTCACTTTTTGCCCTCCTAGCCATCCAGTGACAATGTGAGCGGTCTTCGCTAGACCATTGCCAAGCGAAGGGGGTGTAAATCAGTAAATTTACCCCTCTGGCCTCTCACAACAATATGCTGTTTGACCATCTACATCTTTGTATTACTACTGAAGATGGTCATTTTGAACATGTTTTCTAACAAAGTAAAGTTTATTTTTGTATCAATTTCTGCAATTTTTTTCTTTGTTTTACAGTTAAAGTTATTTGTATGTTACTGTAAATTATTTTAAATTGATTCCCTCAGTTATTTTAGTGCCCAAAACAAGTATATGTGACATGAATACAATTGTGCAATACTGGAAAGTACTCTCTTGCTTCTGTACAGATGTTTAAGTGGACACACTGTATATTTGAAAGATAAGACATTGAATTAAGCTTTATGGAATTTAAATGATTTTAATAAAGTAATTAATAAATTTAATATAAGTGAAATGATCACTGTTAATAATCAAGCTATTATTATGCTGTTATTAATTACAGCATAATAATAGCTCAGTTATTAATAGCAATCATTTGGCTTAATATCAATACATTTGGATTTGTGATGATGTTGATTTATATAAATTTAACAGAATATACTTCCTTTTGTTTTTGCTAACTACTGTATATCAGATTTATTTTTTCAAATATTTTCATTTAAATTTTGCTTTGGAAACAGTTATTAAATATTTTGTGCACTTCTCAGTGTCTAATTTAAAAAACAAAAAAATGATTTTCTATAATTCAGAACATCAAGTTTTATTTATTAAACAAAAGACTACTTGAAATTATTGAAGACCTGATAGCTTTTCTTGTTTTGAAGAAAATAATTTTATTACAAAAAGACGAAGTAAAATGAAAATGTTCACTATTGTAAAATAATTTCGAAATTAACTCTACATTTCTTTTTAAATATAAGCTTATTTATTTACTTTACTTCTTTAATAGACAGTAAAACAGTTTCAACCATGGTTTTTGGCTCTACATTGTCAGGAAGTAGGAGGAAAGAATAATGAAGACTCTATGAGACATGTTGAAGATTTTGTAAGGTACGTTTCTTGAAATGTAAAATATACTTAAAAATTAGTTTTATATATACAGTGGGTGATCAGTTAACAAACAAATTGAATAACGAACACTTTTGTGAAAGATTTTTATGTTCGGACAACGAACACATGATTAGATAACAAACACCTCACAGAACAAACACAAGAAGAAGTGATGTAAAATAATGAATACCGATTTTAGGCAATAATTCAAAACTTTTTGGAGCGTGGGATACATTGACATCGATGCTCAACCTGGTATATACTGATCGGATAGTATTCTTCCAAACTTTGAAACTCTCCCTTGTAATTCCAGCCTTTTATTTTTCTGACAGAAACAATTCTTTTATAGTATTTGTGAGACTATCAGCTGGGCACTCGTTAAGTTTTTCATCAGTTTTTATTTTCGAACGGTGAGAGTATAATAGCAATGTTAGAGGTGGGCAGAAGATGTCTGATGTTGCTGGGCAGTATGGCTTGAACAGGTCCACAGTAGGCCACAGTTCAATCTTATTTAAGAAAGATACTGTATAATCAAGAAGACTCAAGCAGAGAAAAGAGTAACAAAAATCACATCTGAAATAAAGAACATTAAAGAGCTCATAATGAAACCTGATATGGATCTGACAACAGAAGAATACCAAAAAATCTTGAATGAAGAACACCAAGAAACTTGGCAATATATGTTTTCTTCTGAAAAAGAGGATTAATGCCGATATCTGCTATTAAAGATCTTTTGAAGAAGTGGAAGGATGTCAGAACAACAGTCTTAGTGGCATCCAAACCAGATTGAGGTTAATAGGCTTGGGGATCTTTATAATTACAATGATATTAATTACTTCTGAAAAATTCTGAAGAAGAGAGAGAAGTAATTAATGTTGGACAGATTCTTTAACCCACACAAATGGAAAAAACATGACTGATAAAAATGCAAGACTGTGTATATATGTATTTTTATTATTACACATAAACAAATGTAGTAAGAAAGTGTATAATTTTTTATCTTTGGGGGGTCTCCAGAATGGATTAATCAAATTCCAGTAGAAACCTATGGTAAATCAATAATTGGTTAACAAACAATTCAAATAGCAAACAAAGTCTTGGAACAAATTATGTTCATTAACCAATCACCCACTGTACTTACTTTTTATGTCATAACATTATGAATAAATATTCATTTAAGTATACCTAATGAGAAAATTACAATTAGCTGAAAATTATAATTTATTCCATTTTAAATGTTTTAAGTGATCCTTTCAGTGGCGTAATAAACACTAGTATTGTGTTTTATTCCAAAGACACATGGCAAATAAAACACAATACTAGTGTATTCTTTGGAATAAAACACAATACTAGTGTTTATTACGCCACAAATATAAAACAGGACACGGTTTCAAAAAGAAAATGATTTTTTCAGTTTTTGATTGACTGGAACTTTCATAGGGATAAAATTTAATTTTTTCTTTCTATGCAATTAGAAAAAGTATATTCAAATGCTATGTAATTTCAGGAGTTGCTCTCTCTTAATTCTGATTAAAGATTTCTTTTTTTATCTTGAAGTTTAAGGATGTTTGAGATTGATGATGAGATGGGACTAGCCCAAAAACCTTTAATTAGAATTAAAACAGAGTGACTCCTTAAATTATATAGCAAATGTTTGAATATAACATTCTTTTGAAACTGTCAACTTTATTATAGAAGAAAAAAATGTTTGCACAACATTATTGTTTATTGATTTCAAATGTAGTACAATTATTTTCCAGAATAATATATACTAGTATATTACTACTAATAACTGATGCTTGGTTTATGAAATTTCATAAAAATTTAGTGTTTTCAAATTGCTATATTTAAGTACATAATCTAAATAGTATAATTTTGTGTGGACCCTCACGAAATTGTTTCCATCCCAATATCAAATTATCAAGCAAGTGGTTAACACTATTTCAGTGAAAGAAGTGAAAGAGTACTGGATGTTCAGGATGATGTGATGGGATAAAATACTGTATGTGGGTGTGATACAGGCTCTGAAGCAGGCTTTGTTAAATAGGAAGCTATTTATTAGAGAGAGAGAGGCTTAAAAAATTTCTATGTTTTGAGTCATAAAAAGTTTTTTGTTTGGGCAGAAGATTCCTTTTCATCTTTGTCCTACATTATATGGTAGGACAATAGGTAGCCACCAACAAGAGAATCTGGTTGATAGGGAATACCAGTCCAAAATCTACTAGGCCTAGAGGAATGGTTTCTGGAAATAGTTGATTAAGGAGTCTGTCTGTCTAATAAGGAAACAGTGAATGAAACTTGGCAGTTATGTACACTCAGTCTGTGAGGAGTACCATACTTGATTCAGATCAGTGAGTGAGTCAATTAAGAGCAGTTGAAAGGAACAATTCATACAACAGTTGATTGAAGAAAAACATGGAATTTGAGAGAACTAATCCGAAGGAAACCTGTGAAAGGAACTAGTTTGAAATTATCCCAGGATATGTAATCAAAAAACTGAACAGTTAAAAACCTGTATCCTCGGGATATGGGTTTCTAACTGTTTGATCCTTTGATTACACATTCTGATTGGTCTTGTATCTGTTTTCAGCGTAATTTGAAACCACCTCAGGCCATGGGAGAGGTTGATGCCAACATTCAATGCAAAGTTCCAATCTTAATCAGAGATGATCTATCTCCAGTTAGGACTTATACTATGTTCGCACACAATCCACGACTCACTTCGATCTCAATTTACCTACAATCTGGATTGTGACCATCACTAGTCAAACGTCGTGCTGTTTGCACAGGCAGTCCGCTCGAGAAGAACCTGGCTATTACACGCGATGATAAAACCGACATAACTACGCGGTAAGTCACAAACACCAACAAACAAAATGGAAGTTTTGGTTAGAAATAAATACTTTTTCTTGCCATACATATAATAATAGACAGATGTTGTCATCTCTCCAGATGTCTTTCTTATTTCTCTGTTGATAGCCTGATATGTGTTCCGCAGCCATCTTGTATTTTTTCGCGCACGTGGGATTGTGGGATCTCTCTTATAACTGGATCTAGTTTTGAGAACTCTTTCCAGTCGATCGCGATTGAACCTCGTTTCAGTCGAGATTGAAACGGTCGAGAGCGTTCGCACCACAGAACTGGCTCCGACCTTAGTCACAATCTAGATCGAAATGCTCGGTGCGAATGGGGTATTACATTGCTTATCTCTGTCCTGATGTCATGTAAATGACAATTGAAATGTTTTGTCTCTTGGATTTTCTAAGTTAAAATTTTTTTGTGCTAATTTGGGTGAGAATTCAGATTTTCTCTGAACCTTTAAATTAAACATTTTGGAAAAGAATTTATTTTATTATTTAGATTGCTTTTTGTTTGTTGGCTTATTTCCTATGATTTGTGCTAGCATACCTTCCTATAGATGGACTTATTAAACTAGATAGCCATGGAACAGAATGACCTTGAGACAATTTAATATGAGTTGGCACCTTTCGCCTCCCTCTAGGACAAATTAATTAGTAATTAAAATTATCATCACTGGAAAATATCCTAGCAGTTTGTGTGGCTTTATTTTTTCTTATTTAATTTTTTAAAAATTCTTTTTATATGGAAAGTTAAACACCCAAAAACCCCTCATACATCTTCATCTTGTGCTAATTTTAATTAATGAACTTAGCACTAGATGATCTAGCCCTTCAGGCTAAAATACATAATTTAAAATAAAAAATTAGCTTTGTTTTTAGAGTATAAATAATCTAGTTTTAGATCATTTTAACATATTGTCCATACATTATTGAAAAATATTAGTCAAATGAAATTTATTTAATAATTAATATATGCAATTTATAAATTGCTTTCTGGATTTCATGAAATTTGGAGAATAACCTATAAATTGGAAAACTATTCAGAAAGCAAATTTAATATATTTTACATATTTATAAATGAAAACATTTTAAAGTAAATTTCAAAAACATCATTTGAATATTTGTTTTATTTATTATAATTATTTTTTCAGTTATGTTTCAAAATTTACAATTGAATTATAGAAATATAATGTAAATTACACTTAACATGTTTTAGTAATATATTCTGTTTTGAATTTTTCAGAATGTTAATGGCTAGTGAGGAATTAATGAATTATGGTCAAGTCAGAGTTTATTTGGATGAAGATTTCACTTGTACAGAAAAATTTACAGTAATTATATTTATTTACTGTCTTGATTCTACCACAAAATTCAAACTAATCTGGTAACAATTTAAAATAGTATATTATAGACTTGAATGCATTTTTTTTTGTTCATTACTTAGCAAACAAGATTTATTTGTATCAATATTGTGATGGCCTTTTAAATAATTGGTTTATATTTTTTTGATTAGTTTTAATTTTCAACAAATAAAATATCAAGAAATAACCCCACTGGACACTGAATGTAAATTACAAATATTACTTACAAAACCAAAAATCCAGCTCATAGATCAAAAAGTTGAAGGAAAGTGAATGTTTCCAATTACCTTGGGCAACCATTTTCAAGTTAAAAGAAAGGAAATGAAATAAGAGATGGAATGTTATAATTTAAAATATAAAAAAGAATGTCTGGTTGGCAGTTAATAGTCACATGGTTACATCAGGATGTAAAAGTAATAATAAAATTTTGAAAATTAGAAAGAATATTTGCAATCTATAATGCTTATCTACTAAGTATACTTAATGCAAATTTAAAGAACAAAACTTGATTTAGTTGAATTTATAGTACATCGAATAGTACAGTAGACCCCCCATAACACGGTAGATACGTTCCGTGTTTTATGAAATTCATGTTGTATGAGTCCTTAAATACATGAGCCAATCACAGCCCGGCAGTATGCAGTTTACGGACTACAGCTGTTTGAAAGGTTTTCTTCCATAAAATTAATCGATTCTAGACTAATTTGACTCAACATTTTTAAAACATGTATAATTTTTTGGTAATAATCCATATAAACTATGCTATAAACAAAAAATTGTAGGATTACTTACCGAGTATGCACTGTTTGACGACACCATTGCTTAAACTTGTTTTCATCACAGAGCGGCGCATCAAATGGGCGTGTGTGTTTCCTGATAAATTATTTTTATGCGAAAAATTTGCTGAACTTTGGAGACATCATTAATATAAATATAATTTTTATGGATGCTAAATAATAAATGGTTTTTAGTAGGTCTGCTGCTTGTTTAAACTCAACAGTTTGTGCAATATCCAGTATTGTCTAGATTTGACCAATCCTGTCTTGACATGAGTCGGCAATGACATTTTACAATCATACGAGTCTCTTTTAGCGTGTTTATACGAATACGATTGCAATTTTTTTGCCATTATGTACTAATTTGTATTATATGAACCCGTTTTATAGGGGTCTACTGTATTTAAAAAATAAATGAAGGATATAAGTTTCATATTCATCTACAGTACATATATGAGTTTATATGGATTTAACTAAATATAATTTTAAAAGTTTTTAAAATGTGATAATCTAATCAGTATATATTTGCATTTGATCATTATGTGAAATGGCTTGTTGCTCAGTTTTATCTAGTATCATCTCTTACTTATTTTAATGCTCATTTAACATCTTTCAAATGAGTATCTACAGATAATGTCAGAGATAAAAATAGCAAAAATTTTTTTCTTTCATGCTTACAATCAAACATTGCAATTTTTAAACATGTTTTGGATATGACAGGAAGTATCTGTATTTTGTTTCTTCTTAAAAAAATAATAATTGAAACATTGAAGTATAATCTGGATAAATACATAATAACTTTAACTATTCATTTTCTTTAAAATCAGTTTCATATATTTATACTTAAAATATTTATATTTTAAGATATTCTATAAATTGTTTAAAATAAATTTTAAGTTTTTATTACATTTGATTTAAATATCTCTTTAAAGTCTAATCTTTAACATTCTAGCAACTAATATTTGTAACTTAGATTGTTTCTGTATTTGTTTGAATTTTGTAAAGGAAAGGAATGTAAGGAATGTCCGATTTTATTTTTATTTAAAATTTTATTAAACATTTTTGGAATATTTTTTAAAAATTAATAGATTGGAAAAATGATAGAAAAAAAGAACATCAACAAATACATGTGTTATTTAATTAAAAAAATGTGTTTGATTAATCATCAGGAAAATGTAGAATAAAGTAATAAATTAATTAATGTAACTAGCAACACAGAATACTTTATGTACTTTCCAGCAAATTATTCTTTAATCAAACTAATGTTTTTGGCTTTATTAATAAGCCTTCATCAGGTTTTTTGAAATGAGATTCAATTTGGCATGACTCTATTACTAACAGGAAAAGTATGATGTACAGGAACAAGCTACTACTAATTTGAGGTGGAGTGTGTATATTTTAAAATTAAAAATGATTAAAAATTGCAGCCCTTCATTGTAACAATGTCACAATAAATAATTGCTCGTAGTTATAGTCCACCTCATCTTCCTAACCAGCATTAGGTTTCTACTTCCATTTGTCCACACCCAAACTTGGCTCATTAACAGGGTAAAATACATTAACATTCTTTTAACTTCACCCACTGTTAAATGTGCATTGATTAATTCAGCAGATTCTTGTTTACAGTAATATTTGTAAATTGTAAAATTTGTCAATATGCTAGAGAGAGGAATTTCAGGTGGAGGGAACACTTTAAAAACTATGAATCTTTGGTATTTAAATAAGTATGTAATAATAAAAAAAAAAATTATTATTTTTGGTTTTTCTTAATTCATCTCATATTAAATAGAATGTTGAATACATTAAATAAGAATAATTCTTTTAAATTTAAATTATAATTTATAAGGTGATAAATAAAAGTTAAATTAATTTAAGTAAACATAAATATACAATTGGCCAATTATTTCTCAATAAAAGTTCTTGTTTATTTTCTGAACTAATATTATGTGTTAATTTAAAAACAAATGATGTACTAAAATCATTCAAAGATTATGTAATATGTTACACAATAATCTTTCACATATTAAATAAAAATAAGTTTTTATCTACATATTTGATGAAATATAAATTATCAATATGTAATTTCCTAATATGCAATATTAAGAACAAATAATTGTTTTGTATGCATATTATTTGGCCTAAGATAATTTTTTTAAGTACATCCTTTAGCTACTTTTCAAAGTAATAATTATAATTCTGCCATCTTATATTTTTAACTGATATTTACATAACACAGTAAAGTCTCATTCCTGATGCATTACATTTTACAATTAAATATTTATTTGTTTATGATAATATAAATTAATTTGTAAGTAAATGTTAAAAATCTAAATTTCATATTTAAACTTTTTATTCCCTTCTGGTATATTTCTGGAAATGGTTAGTAAATATTTCAAACAGAGAATTTGAAAAATTTTTTTATCCTCATGATGTTCTTTATAACATTTTTCCAATTTTATGGAATCATTTAAATTCAATTTTCAAATTCAAGTATCTTTTGGAAATATTTTCTATTCAGATTTTTTTAATTATCATTAATTATCTGTTAGTTTATTTCTCAGCTATATTTTATTTAATATATAATTTCTGTTTCTATTCATATACACTGTTAATTTTAGTTCTAAAATAAATGTCTTATTTTGAAATTGTATAATACAAGATTTAAATTGTGTATCCTCTCTATCTAATTTATGTAGTGGGATTAATTTGTTTTAAAATTATATCAAAGTTTATTAGAGGTTGGGAACCAAGAATTCCCTTTCATAAACTCTGGGGGACAAAATATGAAATGCTCTGTTCTATTTGAGAAAATTTCTGCTTAAATTTTCCAGTAATTGATTCCAGTAAACAAATCATTTGTGGATTTTTTAACTAAATATTTCGTGTAATGTGTTTAAAATACTGGTTCATTGATTAAAAAACAAACTTTTAATATTACAGAAACTGTTAGGTGTAAACTTCCCAAATTAACACAATTTTTTAAATGAAACTTTACACTGAAACTATCTTTTTATGAATAATATTTTTCGATATAGTATCTAGAGCAGTGATTCTCAAACTTTTTTGATCCACCGCCCCCTTTGTTCCATAAAGTTATACCCAACGCCCCCTAACCCATTTTCTCTTGTGTGAGAAAGGATTGGAAATATTCTTAGGAAAACTTTTCTATGAATCTCACACTTTGTGCCCTTACTGTACATTGTTCACAACATCTGGAAACCATTAAACACAATGTTTCCTCTTATCAGCCCCAATTTTGCCTTTGGTCACCGTTCAATACCCTGCCTCCAGCGCCCCCTAGATCTACTCATCGCCCACAAGGGGGCGTTATTGCCCACTTTGAGAAACGCTGAGCTAAAATATAAGTCAATGTGTTAGAAATATTCAAGTTATGACCTTCAATAAAAAATAAATAAAATGTGAACATTTTATATATATTCCGTCAGATTTTTATATATAGAATTTGTCTGCCGTCGCCCCTCTAGATTTCCTTAACGCCCCCCCAATTTCCTTTGAGCCTTTTACTGCCCCCTGAAAGCCTCCAGTGCCCACAAGGGGGCGTTATCGCCCACTTTGAGAAACGCTGATCTAGAGAAAGCTAATTAAAATAATAAATCTTCTGTAAGTTTTCACAATCCACTCATAATTTTTTTAAATGTTGGTATATGAAGAATTTTGCTAAATTAGATCTAACAAAATTTAGTATTTTTTTTTCTTTTTGTTGTTAGTAATCTATAAAATTAAAATATATTAACACCAGAAGAATTGAATAAACAAATCAAATAGAATATAAGAAACTAAATTTATAAAAAGTTAAATATATATTAATATATTTATCCAATATAAACAATTAGAAATATCCATCTTATAGAAATCCAGAATTATCAGAAAAACTGTCAATTTTTGAACTTGGTAGGATTTAGTATAGTTGTAGTTTGCCACATGGCCATTTTTTTTTTTGTTTCTGTGGTGTATGCATTGCATGATTGTCAGTTCCAGTGTGACTGCTGGCATATGCTGTGTTAAATACAGTGTCATTGTTTATTTTCCATTCTTTATTTTATATATTTAAGTATATATTTAGCATGTGTCCAGAAAGCCAGAAATCTGCACTGTTTCTAGTCTCAAGCTTGCTGGATATTTGGTCTGGTACTGTATCAGTCTTTCACAATTCTTTCAGAGAAACATCTTTTTTACATCTGCACTGTTAACCAGATATTGCACAAGTAATTGCAAATAATAAACTCTTAATGTTCCAATAATATCTTGATCCATTGGTTGCAATAGTAATATCAGAATTGTGGGAAGAAAAAGAATTTCTGAATATTAGATTCATAATCTGCATTATTAGATGAATGTTCAGGATTGTCACTTATTAATGTTGTCTTTGCAATATTGTTATCCTAAATATACTTCTTTATGAAAGTGAGAAATAGCTCTTGGTATAATCACCAAACACTTCTCTTATAACCCAAACCTGGAGATTTGGTTTACATAGACAAACAACACTCTTCAAGTTATCCTTTATGGCATGAGGGTTTACAGAATGATAAACTAATATTGGTTTCACTTTTATATTGCCAGTACAATTGCTTCTAATAAATAGAAATGAGACCAAAAATGTTTTAAATATAAAGCATTTTTGGCCTCATTTTGGACTATTCTTGGCATATGTGTAAATTGAATGCATTCAACTTACATGTGCACCAAAGATAGCTAAAATTGAGGATGAAAATGTTTTGTATTAAACAATTTTGGTAATTTTAATCAAGTTCCATTGATTTTTGACAAATTGGAGAATAACTCATCTTAAATATGTGCTGGAGTGAATGAAAGATTATTTATTTGAGATAACCTTAATGAGTTTTTTTATTAAACAAAAAAATTTCTTAAATAGTATGATGCCATGTTTCTCATATTTTCATAGTTAACTAGATAGGTACTGTACATGAATAATTTAGAAATATCTATAAGAAAAAATGTTTTGTTCAAAATGGGCTTTGAATTTGCAATTCATGCAAACTGAGCTAGCATATTATCAATAACACTGTGTAGATTTCCAAGCTAATTTTCATCTCAAGGTACAGTACATGTACTTTTTAAAATTAATGTACTGTACAGTACAGTCATATAGACTATATTGTTACACTTATCACAGATATTTCTTTCCAAATCCTCATTATTCAATAAATACATTTTTTTTCATAGTTGTACTATATGTAATTTTATTATAAACAGGAAAATCTTTTAAATGTTGTTGTTGTTTTTTTGTGTGTGTGTGTGTTTCTCCTGAGTAATGTTAATAAAAACATCCAACTTTATTCCTGATTATTTCATAAAAAAATAACGGCTTGATCAACAAGATATAAATAAATCAATAAATAAAATTCTAAAGAAATTGTTTTTGTATTTTAAATAAAATAATTTCATATTTTTGCAATGACACAGTCCATTTCCAAGGAAAGAAAATATTAAATATTTGGGAGTCCCAACCTCTATCTGCCATTTTATTTTTCTGTATTATGTGTATTTTGAAACTTAACTATACATATATACAACTAACTTAATTTATTAATATTTATTTATTTGCTTAGAATATTTATAACCTTAAGATATAAATATTTTTTAGGCTTTAGGTAGCCTTTACTTTATCCATAACAATGTCAAAAATGTGGAAATTTGGGATTTCAAAGGTATTATTTTTTCCTGTTTCCTTTTATTAAGAAAGATGAATTAATACATTTTGAATATAATAAATTATTTAAAGTTAAAGTATTATAATGTTATACTTTATTTATATTTTGAAAATTAATATTTTCTAAATTTGAAATATTCTATTGATGATTGTCAAGAATTATATTTTCATATTTTATTAAATCTTGTAGGAATTTCAGTATATAATTTGATACTTGATAAAAATCTATCATTATTACATGTTTAACACCTATTAAGTAAACTTACGGATTTACATTCTAATACTATAATAATTTAATTGATGATTGCTTGATGCATCAGCTTATAGGTTTTTCTGGAAGACAGTGATAGTAAGAATTGTAGCATTGGCTTTCCTGTCATATAAGTGAGTACCGAGAAGTAATAGCTGCAATGTCGAGTTGGGAACAAACTGCTTGGAACAATCAATTTCTTTCCGGCATCAGTCAACAATATTGACTATGCTGGTCATTATGTGTGGAGGATCATGATTATTGGCATGGCAATTGTAGAGAAAGTTGACAGTTGTATAACATTGGCAACAATTAGAGTTGATACAATCACTGAGGATGATTATGATGGCTTAACAGCTTTGAACCTACTGAGATAGTCCCTACAGTCAGTGAGAGCATGGGTTCTTTCTAGAAAGTCTCTACTGAGGATCAAGTTATGATTGCAGTGTTTGAAAATACAAACCTAACAGGCCTGATCAAAGAGTTCACTTATAATCTGACATTTCACTGGACAAGGACACTTAATCTTATTCTTTCTATAATGGAAATATTTGGTGATGTTTCAGTTAGAACTTTTGCAGTTTCAGTAGAGTTCATTAAGAATAAATGAAATGGAAGCTCTTGTATCACTAAGGCTCTATACCTCTATGGAGTCAAAGACAACACACACAAGTCCGTGGTAAAGGAGTGAAATGACAGCAGTCAGAAGATTTTGTCAGAGTAAGCCATCCCTATCTCTAGAGTGCCTGACAGCCGACAGTTGGGCAATCAAGTGATAGCAGCCGATTCTAGACTGTGATGGCAAGAGGAGGAATAGTGTGATCAGTGATTACTTCTTGAATTTTGTGAAGAAGGTGGAGGAGTTTTGGTACTCATTAGAAGGCTCTTCCAGCATCACTGGGCAGCTGGCCTCAGTGTCTCCTAGTAACAAGGAGCATCATAAATCTAAACTGAAACTTTTTTCTTTTAGAAAATTCTTTTTTATTCTCTGAAGAAAATTCCAAATTTCATTGCAGTTCATCAGAGAAACTTGCAGTCTTGACATTTTAAACTTTTTTATATAATGCAATTATAGATAACACAGTATTCAGTTACAATAGAATTTATCATTGAATGAATTATATTTTAACATAATTATTATTAAATTATGTTACAGATCTTTATTTTACATTTGAGTTTTGTGAATTCCATTACTATTGTGGTCATGATTTGACATTTTTATCTAATTCATTAAATATAATATTTCTTCAAATATAGATAGATTTACTTTGTAAATAAGATGATAAAAGAGTTTTTTATTATCTTTTTTTAGTACGGGATTCTGAAAACAAGCTAATACTGTACTATGAAGAATCAAAGAAAATTTGTTATTACTTAAATTCAAATCACCAAATTCTTGTCATAAGAATAAAGAAAAATATTTGAGTGTTTGATTCATTTTTTGATATGACATCATCTACCTTTTTTTAATGAAAATTTTAAGTAATAACTGAAATTTTCTTGTTTCTCCTAATCAAAATCAAGTAATAATTTGTTCAAAATGCTGCTTTTTCAGATAGTGTTAAATAATATAATAATGTTGCTAAAGTTATACAATGGGACATGGGTTCTTATAAGTTCTAAAGAATATTATACTGAAAACACTTGAATTAATTGAAAAAATTTGAATTATAACTTTTCCATCTTTTGATTTGAAGATTGCTTTTATTCATTTTTATTAGAATTTGCATTTGTTTATATAATTTTTATTTTCAGATAAAATGCAAAAAGATTGCTTCTACAAATTTTAAGTAGATAATTCTCTTATTTGTCAAATGAAGTATTTAAAATATTTCTTCAACTTCTAAGTCTTCAGAATTTGAAAAATTGCTAGAGATGCAATGAAAATAATGTATCTTTAGGTACTGAAATGTTCAATTAAATATGAAACTATTAGTCTTTTATTGAAATGAATAATTGTATTGAAAACTACTGTAATTACTAATGTGAGGTAGCAGAAATCACTATATTCGAACTAGACTTTAATATTAATATTGTTTGAGTTACATAACAATTGTTGTTCGTAGCTACCTGAAAGTCTTCCATTACATTTTCTCGAAGGCTTGTTAAAAGATCACAATGCTTTTTCATGATCTTTTAACTTCTGGACGGCCGATATCGTCCATGAATATCACAAAAGATGGCCGGAAAAAAGTCAGTCATCGTTCGTCCCTCTGTCAAAGGAAACCCGCACCGATTACACCAGGAATATTGTTGACCTTGTGCCATCATTGTGCTAGTAGATATTATATTGGTACTAATCACCATCGGAACTATTATCTAACAATGAGAGCTCCATCACCTTTTATCACCAGGTATTTATGCAACTCGCGCTCATTATGTGAACTCTTTCTCTCAGCAACAAACTTTAGAACCTCTGTATCTTATCCAATTTATTTTTAATTAAATCCTTGTTAAGTGTTATTGTAGTTCGAGTCTCTTCCATATGCTGTCTCTCGATCGGCTGACATTATGAATCCGTCTGTCCACTTATGGGACCGCTCGCGCGATGGTGTGATGTAGTAATTGCCGTCTCGGCTTCCGTGTTCCGATAAACACGGTGGTGTCAATCCTGACAAAGCACTAAAGAGGTGCCGATCCGAAAGGTCACACTAATTTATAACAAGATGTAAAATATGTATATTAGAATTATTGAAATTAAATGTATGTTTTAGTTGAGAGGGGGAAAAACCTTATGCAAATTTTATATTACTGAACATAAAATGTTTCTAAACATGTGAATCAATTCATAATGTATTTACGTTGTTCTAAACTTTTTTGAATTCTTTTTATTATATAATTACATTGACAGTTCTATATAAAATACTCCTAGAAAATTTCAGTTATCTTCTATTATTGATTTTAAAACTATTTCATATATGTGGTACAATCCAAAAGTTTGGGGACTACAGTAATGTATGACAACAAAAGCATGTATTTGAAGTTACAGCGTATAAAATTGATTCTATCAAACCTTTCCTACGTGTTCAGATTGATTTTGCCCATGTCACATGATTAAACCGCAAGCGCTGTTGTTTTCTTACGGAGATAATTACCTTTCTTTTGCGACGTAATAAAAATGGAGTTTCAAGAACAGCGCTGCAACATAAAATTTTGTCAGTGTTTAGGTAAAACACCTACGGAGACTTTAAAATTGCTAAGAAAGGTGTACAGTGATTTTCCATGGCGAACTCAAAGGTGTACAAATGTCATCGGAGTTTTAAAGAGGGCTGAGAATCCATCGCAGACGATGAACGCTCTGGCCGACCTTCGACTTCACGGAACGAGGAAAATGTTGAGTTGGTCTCTCAATATGTTTGCAAAGATCATTGCCAAACCCTTGAAAAAATTGCTGCGGCTACTCGGTTATCAAAGACTAGTTGCCAAAGACTAGTTTTAACGGAAAATCTTAACAGGCACCAAGCAAAGGATAAGGCATGATGGAGGTGTTTTTTGATTCTCAAGGAATTGTTCATTCAGAATTTATTCCCGGAGGCAGAACAGTAAACAAGGAGCATTATCTAGACATTTTATGTCGTTTGAGGGAATTCATTTGTCGTAAATGGCCACAGATCTGGCAAAGTGGAGACTGGTACCTTCTGCATGACAACTCAAATTAACGTGCTTCCACACCCCGTCTATTCACCAGACTTAGCCCCGTGTGATTTTTATTTGTTTCCATCAATGAAAAAGCATTTGCAGGGATGTTGTTTTGTGTCATCAGATGAGGTGAGAGCAGCATCGNAAACCCCCCCTAACCCATTTTCTCTTGTGTGAGAAAGGATTGGAAATATTCTTAGGAAAACTTTTCTATGAATCTCACACTTTGTGCCCTTACTGTACATTGTTCACAACATCTGGAAACCATTAAACACAATGTTTCCTCTTATCAGCCCCAATTTTGCCTTTGGTCACCGTTCAATACCCTGCCTCCAGCGCCCCCTAGATCTACTCATCGCCCACAAGGGGGCGTTATTGCCCACTTTGAGAAACGCTGAGCTAAAATATAAGTCAATGTGTTAGAAATATTCAAGTTATGACCTTCAATAAAAAATAAATAAAATGTGAACATTTTATATATATTCCGTCAGATTTTTATATATAGAATTTGTCTGCCGTCGCCCCTCTAGATTTCCTTAACGCCCCCCCCAATTTCCTTTGAGCCTTTTACTGCCCCCTGAAAGCCTCCAGTGCCCACAAGGGGGCGTTATCGCCCACTTTGAGAAACGCTGATCTAGAGAAAGCTAATTAAAATAATAAATCTTCTGTAAGTTTTCACAATCCACTCATAATTTTTTTAAATGTTGGTATATGAAGAATTTTGCTAAATTAGATCTAACAAAATTTAGTATTTTTTTTTCTTTTTGTTGTCTTAAAAGGTAATGTTTTAAAATAAATTTTAAGTACATTTTCATTTAAAGAAAAAAAAAAATCCTTGTACTTGAAGTTCATTTAAACAGTTTGTGTTGGTTAAAATGTGAAATGTAAATTCATTTTTTAGTTAAGTTAATAATTGATTTATCTATGTTTCTTTAATTTAAAAAAATTTGTGCTAATTAAATCATATTTTGTCAATTGGGCATTCTAGCTAGTATACCTATCCTAAATCATTTATTTTATGGGCCCTATATATTTAAATAATAAAATAGGGTAGATTAGTGATTCAAAGTAAGATTGTTGTTTTTATAGTGAATTAAGTCTAAAAGTTC